ATAAATTTAAAATAATTTTTTATATCCCATCTCAATTTTCTCATTGTTCTAATCCAGTTCTAATGTAAAAAGATTACTCACTATATTTAATAGTAAGAGGCTTGACTTGTCTCTTGTTTATTGAATTTCTCTACCAAATTGTTAAACATTTCTTCTTGACAGGTTTTGTTGAGAAACCGAGGATGTTTTTACATTTTAGGAGGCTGCTTACTGAGAGTTCTCTACGTTGAAATCGTTTATTTGAGTAACGGCAACATTCAATGCATTGTACAACTATTTATTCTGTTGTGGTCTTAATATTACTTAAAGCATGTAAACACAGCTGTTTCATATTTGCTTATCAAAATGTGTTGCTCATGTTTGCAGTGATGCTTCATTCATTGTTGGACACTGACATATGAATTTACCTAAGATGCCATGATCTATTGAAATGGCTGTTTTCAGCATTATGGCTTTGGAGTGCAAATTAACATTAAATTACAAAAGAAGGTCATTTCTGTCTCAGGAACTGACTTCAATACAGAGATTATTGTGAACACATTATCAGAGAATTCTCTCTGTTGTAGGGAATAACACCAGAAAGGAGTAAAGGAAACAGTTTGGAGCATGGGGAGAAACTGAGATGTAATTAAGAAGCATTAGAGACATATGAATATTTGAAGCTCAGATGTCCATTTAGAGTTGTTCCAAATTGAGGCAAGGGAATTGGGCTAAACCTCAAAACCAAGCAGTCATAGGATGCTAGGAAATCATGGGGGCAGTGACATAATCTGCATAAGCAGATCTCTTCATTCAGAAAGAAATTCCCAGAGAAGGAATGAACACTGAGCCACTAGCAGACAAAGCTGATCCTGAAGGGGAATCTAGGTAACATGTGACAGCAACCATTACAATAAAGCAATGGATATAAAGGCAAGAAGCAATATGCTCCAACTCTCTAGCTCAGAGTCTAAACCTTGATTCCAGTAGGATTCTCATCATATCTTGAGCCATTGCAACCCTGATAATTAGCTTATAGAACAAGCACTCCTGAAGGGAAGATGAACCATGAAACAAACATGTAGGATGGGCATTCAGGAGATATACAACACATCAAGGAACATTCTTTAAAGGAAAATCGTTGATTAATCCCTCCCCTGAGCTCACTAGGAAGAGATAGTCAATGTGCTGGCCAAAGGAACTAGGATCAAGACCAAAAGGCTTAAGCCAGAGCAAGTTGGCCACAAAAGGTGACCTTGAGAAAATATTATCAGAAATGTAACATTGATCCAAATATAAGGACTGTTAAGTTTGGATCTAAAATGTTCCTCAAAGGCTTATGTGTTAAAGGTATAGACCCCGACTGATGGTGCTGTTGGGAAGTGGTGAACCTTTAAGAGGAAGTAGGTTATTGAGGTTGTGGCCCTTGAAGAGGATATTGGGACCCTAATCCCTTCTCCTCACTTTCTCTCTTTGCTTTCCAGCCATTACAAGGTGAGCCACTTTGTTCTCATGTGCTCCTTGTCATGACATTCTGCTTTGCCACAGGCCCAAAGTTATGGGGCCAAGTGACCCTGGATTTAAACCTATGAAATCTTGATCCAAAATAAATCTTTCATCTTTTTAAGTTGTTTATCTCAAGTATTTTATCACAGCCATGAAAGCTGACTAACTCAAGAACCATGTAGTATCAAACACCAGGAAAACAACATTAAAAAAATGAAGTCTTGGAGGCAGACACATAAATAAATATATCCAAGAATTGAAAAAAAATTAAAAATGAACTGGGACAAGATGGACAGAAAAGAGGATGATCCTACAAAATTGTTGTGAACTCTATTTTAACCTAGCCTTCTCAAACACAGTGTTTCAAGTTATGCTATGGAGATAGAGTAGAAAGTTATGGGGAATATTTAGGGAAAAGGGTTTCTATGTCTTAAAATAGGTCTTTACTTGCTGAGTATTCCTCAAACTTTATGTTTCACCCAGCAAATGCATGACATTAAGGACATAAAGAAAGGCAAGTTCAAATATGTTGATTAAAGAGTCATACAGAAGCAGATGTGAAATTAAGATTAAGTGTCATCCTGCTGCTACTATGGGACATATTTTTTTCCCACTGGAAAAACTATGGATGGGATCTAGATACTAAGGTAAAATAAGGTTTCTTAATTTCCTAAAGGAAGCAGAACATTTACATCTCGTTTTAAAGCCATTTCTAGCAGAATATTGACCTTAAGGTTACCAAAAAGATTTCTGCATTTGATTCTTTTCAAAAATGTGAGACCCTTTAAATCACTTTGGTAGCATGTACGATCTGAGGCTTAGTACAAAGAAAGCAATTGCTCAAAGTCTCCAGCTGAAGGATCTGTTACTAGGGATGTGCAAATGAGATTTGGTGGCTTAAAGAGGTTATTTCATTGAACCTATTACAGGCTTTTACAGGGCTCGGAAGTAGGAAAGTAGTTTAATGATCAGCTCCCATTAAATTGATACCTGTTTTATTCAGCACGTATGAACTTGAGCTTCACAATGCCTCTTTGTAAGTAGAAGCTTAAAATGCCATCTGTAACATGAAATATAAGGTATGTGGGTGTTACAAAAGCATTCTGTCTCTGTGATGAGTTAGCTCTGGAGAGAGTTCACTACTTGCAGAATCTTTTATCTGTGAGTCAGAGTTCCTCATAAGGGCAATTTCAGAGTGACCCTCATTACACAGGGGCTTCGAAGTCAATGTGTGCTCTTTGTTGAGACTAGTGGACCAGTACCATTGTGGTCAAAGTTTCTAGCAGAATTTGCCAATGCAGCAATAAATAAAAGGTATTAATTTGATTGCACTCTAGTTTATTCTTATTCGCTGGTATGAAAAGTTTAATTGATAAGTAAATAATGGCCATGTTGGCCTGATCATTTGAGAGAAAGAATTTGGAGAATGGGGTTAAAGTTGCTGCTGCTGCTTTTTAAGTCAAGAGTTATTATAAGACCAGAGATAATACTGGTGTTAACATAAGTCAAGATAGGTCCCATTTCCCTAGTGTTGAAGACTGAACACCCCAAAAAAGTGCAGAGGAAAGAGCAAAAAGTTTTATTTAAAGGATAAAACAGACAGAAGAGACTAGTTAAGTCGTAGACTAGTTAAACTGTTGTTATGTTTGGAAGGGATCCAAAGAGGAGGGGGGTCCAAAGCTGGTGCCCAAGGGAGTGGGTGCTTTCCCACTTTCATGGATTTCAGATTTCCTTTCTTCTCATGCCTCCTCCTTCCCACTTGGCCAAAAGGTGGGAAAGTTGCCCTCCAAGGATGCTTCTCCCTATTTTCCATTATCTGCCCAGAAAGGCAGGAAGGGAACTGCCCAAGAGATATTCATTAACTACTCCTTGCTGGGAGGAACAATTCCATGGAGGCAGGTAACCTTGGTAATGTGGCCGAGGAGAGGAAGTGTCCTGGAGACATTAGCATTTTATTTTCTTTGAATCAGTCCCCATCTTCCTGACCCAGTCATTTATTATCTACACTGACTGTTCATCTCAGTTGTACACAATCATTTAAATCCTATAAAATGAGAAAAAGTCATGTAGTCTTTGAGGTCCCTTTCACCATCTTGATTCTGATATATTGTCTTTATTTCAAGAAGCAGAAAAATTGTGAAGATACTATCTTGAAAGAAAGGTTGTTTTGTGGGCCACGATATACAACAAAAATATCTATGACATTTATTCTACTGGGAACTCTTGAGTTGTCCAGAGAGTCTGAGATTTAAAGCAAAGTGTAGTTAAGGTTTTATATTTAAGAAAAAAAAAATGCCACACAAATAATTTGGCATACTACAACGTCATTACTTCCAGTGTGCATTTTGAAGTTTACAGTACTTCTTAGTTGTTTAAGTGACAATGAAAACTGTAACTGTATTTTGGAAAATCACTGAGAACTCTCTAAATAAGCACTCAAGTTTTATTTTAGAACATAACAACTGTTTAACTAGTCAAGCATTTGGGCTGTTTTGATTTCAAAGACAAAACTGAATTCACGCTGGCTTAAATATGAAGAATCTTTGTTTGCATGACTAAAGAGCTCAATGGTTGCATCCATTTCAACCTGATTTGAGGTTAATTTAGGGGTTCAGATGGTGTCATGAACCCATCTGACCCTCCTTATCCTTTTTTAGCCTCTCTTCTTCATGTGACTTACCAGCAAGATGAGTATTACTCCAGGTTTCTAACAGTAAGAAAGGTAAGCTATTTGTTCTCCAACACTTCCAACAAAAACCTCATTTCATCTTATTTCTTTTGACCCCACCACTTACCCATTTCTATACTCATGGGTGTGGCTAAAGAATGGGATACTCAGATAGTCAGACATGAGTCCCAAGGAACAAATGTGGAGTCTGACTTTGAACAATGCACAGATTATTCCCCAGAGAATTTTAAACCGACATTGAATAATTCAATAAAAAATATAATAAAACATTTTCATGAATAAATTGCAACCTATATTTTTATACTTTAAGTGAATATATGAAAGTGTAACAATGATGGACTTGCTTGGAGGAGGATTTCGTTCCCTTGAAAGTCAATAATATTTTAAAATCTTTAACAAGACAAATGCTACTAATAAGTACTATTAACTGAAGATGATTTAAAATATTGTAAAACTCCCAAGTAAACACTATAGGGAGCAGTACTAAATTGTCATAATAAGGCCAGGAAAAAGATGATTCTGTAGAGGTATCAGGGTACTTCTAGCAGAAGATAGGACTGGATTATGGGCTATAAAATAATATACACCTACCCAATCATGAACTTATAATATCATTAAACTGTGACCTTTTTCACTGGTTTCTTTCAAGTGCAGAATTATTTTCTTTCTTCCTCTTACAAACCTAATAAAGTAGCAAAATTGGCTGCCAAATAATATGTTCTAACCTTCACTGACATCACAATAGGGTAATTGACTGATGTCAGTGGGATGAATTAACACAATGGATTTTAGTACTAAGCAATTTTAAGTAAAAAATTATGTGAAGTTCAAACTGATAAAAATTGAGCTTTATGAATAAAGTAGGAATAAGTGGGGATCCTCTTTCCCAGTTTCCTTCTGCAAATATCCTGTAGTATACCCTAGGGTTTACAGCCTCAGGGTTCTACACAGCAGTACAGTAAGAATAATGCTGACGTTTCCAGCTCTAGGTGCTGTTCTTCCTCCTCTGCAAGGACCAGAGAAGACTTGGCAACAAAAGTATGTGCTAAATCTGAAAGAAATATGGATGACAATAATTTTGAAGGCCCCTTCCCCTTAATCACAAAGAACTTTCTGGAACTTGGCTTGAGCTTTATAGATTTATTTAGCCGGGAGTTAGGCTGTTGGCTTATTCTTTAAGTATCAGAAGCCAACTATAGATAGTTGTTGATTTTTTGTTGTTACTGTCGTTCTGAGCACAGGAGTAATGACGTCAAGACATGACAGTATAGAAACTAGAACTTGTTATACTATATGTATAATACATATTATATCCCTGAACAGCCCTGTTTTTGTCCACTGTTGCCTCCAGGTTTCCTTAGTGATTCCTTCTTAAAATAGCATTTGAGTCATGCAGTTCTTTTAGCTGTTATGCAGGAGCCTACCCCATGGGGTGATAAGGTATGCAGGAGAGAAAAATTCTTAGTCCTGTGATTCCTTCTGACTTTTTAAGTGAGTTCATGCCTCTGGGCTATGACAACCCCATGTGTTTATAAGACTCTTTTTTCCCCCTCTTAGATGAGATAGGAAAGCTGGAGGGAGCTAGAGTCAGGTATTTCCCTTTTCCCAGGTCAATAAGTTCTGGTAAAATCTATGTCTGCTAGCCTCTGATAAACTAATTTCCCTTGAGCACTGGCCACTGTTCAGGAGGACACAGATCTTTGGACATATTTCAGAATGGTTATTTTCCCTTCTTCTTACTAGGAATTTTTCTTCAAACTTCATTATGACAACCTGGTAAGGGCTTTTGAAGGTAAAATAAAATTTTACTTAAACAAAATTGCTTAGTGCTAAAATCCATTATTTTAATTCATACCACTGACATTAGTTAGCCCCCCTATTGTGATAGCAGTGCAGGTTAGAACATATTATTTGGCAGCCAATTTTGCTGTTTCATTAGGTTTGTAAGAGCAGGAGAGAAAATAATCCTACACTTGAAACCAGCAAAACAAACAAACAAACAAACAAACAAACAAAAAAAACAGATTTTATACACACACATATGCATACACACACTCTAAATAGCAAAACACACCATATACTAAATAGTGAAAAACCAAAATATTCCAATTAGAAGATATGGAGTCTGATTTTACATTTTATATATGATCAAACAGATTAATAGCAAGAAAATTCAATTTTAAATTGTGAAAAGATCCTAAAAACCTGAATAGACAACTCAATAGCAAAAAAGAAAAAAAAAAAATTGGTCAAGGACCCAAAACTGGATTCCCAGAGTCCATAACTGTTAAGTGTCTCTATACTGAACATCCAGAAATTTGTCAACTACAGTTTAAGTATTCTTACGAATTTAGGCCCTAAGACAGATTTTATATCCTGGACTTCTGTTTCCATTGAGCTAAACTTCTTAGTGTCTTCCTCTCTCTCCAGTTTTTGGGAATAGTAGTTTCCCCCAAAGCTCACATATGAGACATGCAGGAAGATTCAGAGGAGAAATTATTGAGTTGTAAGAGTCTTGACCCAATCAGCGATTTAATCCCCTGATAGAGATTAACTGAGCAGTAATTGAAAGTGGTGGGGTGTGGCTGAAGCAGGTGGGAATTGAGTCATGCCTTGGGGTATATATTTTGTATCTCAAGAGTGGAGACTTTCGCTGTATTTCCTAAACACCATATGAGCTGCTTACTTCTGCCAAACTCTTCTGACACGATGTTCTATCTCACCTGGAGCCCAGAGGAAGTCAGCTGTGGAGTCAGCTGTCTATGGTCTAAGACTTTTGAAATCATGAGCTCTCAAATAAACTTTTTCCCCTTTGAAATTGTTCCAGTCAGATCTTTTAGTCACAGCAGCAAAAAAGCTGACTGTGATAAATAGATTGAGTTGTTGATTTTTTTTTTGTTGTTGTTGTTCTGAACATAGGAGTAATGATGTCCATACATGGCAGTCTAGAAACTGGAACTTTTTATACTATGTGTATAATAGATATTATATATTATATACATAGTAGATGTGTGTGTGTGTGTGTGTGTGTGTGTGTGTATATATATATATATATATATATAACCAAAATGACATCAGATTGAACATACTCTCTCAATCTATTTTTTGAAAATGTTTTATGTTGCCAATTATATTTACAATATATGTTAATATTTACATAATACCCCCTTATATAGATAAAACATAATTGGGTTAGTCAATCACTAATATTAGAGTCATAGTTAGTTGCCTAGATTTTTTAATGTAGTAATTATACATAAAATCTTCTCTCAACAAAATTTTAAGTTCACTGTATGTTTTTGTTGCCTATAAGCACAATGTTGTATATAGCAGATGTCTAGACATTATTCATCTTGCAAAATTGAAACTTTGTCCTCATTGAACAGCAATTTCCATTTGCCCTTCACCCTTGACAACCATTATTCCACTCTCTCTCTATGAAATTTGACTATTCAAGATACTTCCTATAAGTGGAATCATATAGTATTTGTCTTTCTATGACTTGCTTATTTCACTTAGCATAATGGCCTTCAGATTTATCCATGCTGTTAATAAGAGGATTTCATTTTTTTTTAATTTTCATTTTTTTATTGATTGTTCAAAACATTACAGAGCTCATGATATATCATCTTTCATACATTTGACTCAATTGGGTTTTGAACTCCCATTTTTACTCCAAATACAAATTGCAGAATCACTTCTGTTACATACTCACATTTTTACATGATGGCATATTAGTAACTGTTGTATTCTGCTACCTTTCCTATCCCCTACTATCCCTCCTCCTCTCCCCTCCCCTCCCATCTTCCCTCTCTACCTCCTCTGCTGTTGTTCAATTCTCTCCCTTTTTTTCCCTCCCCCTTGCCCCTCATAACCTCTTATAATTTTGTGTATCATTGAAGGTCTCCTACCATTTCCATATGCTTTCCCTTCTCTCTCCCTTTCTCTCCCCCCATTCGTCTTAGTTTACTGTTAGTCTTTTCCTCATGTTCTTCCTTCCTGTTCTATTCTTAGTGGCTCTCTTTATATCAAGACATTTGACATTTGTTTTTTAGGGCTTGGCTAGCTTCACTTAGCATAATCTGCTCTAATGCCATCCAGTTCCCTGCAAATTCTATGATTTTGTCATTTCTTAGTGCTGTATAATACTCCATTGTGTATAGCTGCCACAATTTTTTTATTCACTCATCTATTGAAGGGCATCTAGGTTGGTTCCACAGTCTAGCTATTGTGAATTGTGCTGCTATAATCATTGATGTGGCCGTATCCCTATAGTGCGCTCTTTTAAGGTCCTCAGGGAATAGTCCGAGGAGGGCGATAGCTGGGTCAAATGGTGGATCCATTCCCAGCTTTCCCAGGAATCTCCATTCTGCTTTCCAAATTGGCCTCACCATTTTGCAGTCCCACCAGCAGTGTACAAGTGTGCCCTTTTTCCCACAGAGGATTTCATTTTTTAGGGCTGAAAATTTTCATTTATATATAATATAATATTATATTATATATAATGTATATATCACATTTTAATCTATTCACTTGTTAAGGTACATTTCAATTGTTTCCAAATCTTCACTTTTATGATTGATACTGAGATGAACATGGAAGTGCAGACTTCTTCAAGATTTTGATTTTGATTCCTTTGGCTATGTATCCAGCAATGGAATTGCTGAATCATTTTGTAGTTCTGACTTATTATTATTATAGTATTATTGTTATTATTATTATTAATAGTTGTGTAAGCATATGTATGCAGGTTCATTTCTTAGCTCTCTGTTCTATTCCACTGATTTTTGCATTCATTTTTATGCCTGCATTATGTAGTGTTCTACTGACTATAACTTTGCAATGTATTTTGAAATCAGTAGGAATCAAGCTTCAGACATTTTCTTTCTCCAGATTGTTTTTGCTATTCAATAACTTTCATAGTTATTATGAATTTTGTGATTAATTCTCAATTTCTGTATAATGTGCCATTGGATTTTTCATAAATTTTCAATTTCACTGAATTTCTAGACCACTTTGGGTAGTCCATCACTTCCAATTCCATAAATGCAAGCTACCCATTTTTGGCCCTCATATAAACCTGAAAGTGGAATGAGCTTAATTTGAATCTCTGTGCACATCTATGATGATTTTCTTGTATTTTCCAGCCAAGAAAAGAAAAAAAAAACATCTTTCATATGGTAAATATTTACTGGCAAAAATGGATAGAGGAGGTGGTCTCCCACATTCCCTCTTTGGTATTGTCCATCTCTTCCTAACTTTCCGTTGGTTGATTCTGTTATCCTTACCCTCACTTTTCCGTGTGCCCAGTGCCCTTTGGCTTCCCCAGCCTTTACATGGGTCTCAGAGAACTGTCTGTTCAATGTGTCCTGTGTGGGGTGAGGATCTCTGGCAATAATGTAAAGGATGCTTTCCCTCCCTGCCCTCCCTTCCTCCTCCTCCACCTCATTCTCAGTAACAGAAGAAATGTGTCCAAGATGCATCTTGCCAGGAACATCCTGCAGAAGCCTCAGAGCCCCAAAGCTCACAAAAACACAAAATCTCAAAATCAGCTAAATCAGAGGTCTGGGTGGAGGAAGAAAGCTGGCATTGTTTTCTTTCACAGCTCAGTGTGTGATGTTTATGGAATAAAACACTTGGACTTTCATCTTTTGACAAATATTAAGGATAAATTGAGCGATAGACAACTTCAAAAAACAGAGAAGTACCACAAAAATACTATTTGGAAATTAATTTCTTTTTTTTTGTCTTTTCATATGCATGATTTATTTAAGTGTGCATAATTTTTATTTCTTTAAATTTTAAATAATCATTTAAATAACCAAAGCTGAAGGTCACTATCATGTTTAATTAAATATAGGGTAGTGAAAATATAGCACAAACTCTATACACAGGGAAAGTAGTTGAGGTTTTGCTATGGGACAAGAATATAAAATATTTAACATGTATAATTAAATATATAAAAAATAGCAAAGATACCCTTAGAGTTAAGATCAAAAAAATGATCCTGAATACTTTAAAACATTATATATTGATCA